ATCTTTGCCAACCCTTCTGTCCGTGCAGACATAGCCAAACGGAAGCTTGCTGAACGTGTGCAGCACTCCGGTGAGTCTTATACTTCGTACATTAAGATGTCTTCGCCCTATGCCGTCGCGTCGACAGCTCAATGGCGGAACATGACCGCGTTCGCCACCTGCTCAAGGGCATAGGCGCCGTCGCATTTAACGCTTTAGCGGCAAAGAACCCCACCACGGTCGCGGATATCATCAGTACGTGTTAGCGACTCGATGACCTTCAACTTATACATTTACAACCTGACACAGGAGATCTCAGGCCAACACATGACAATGAGCTCCGTGCGTTCATACGGTCCATGATCTGCAAGGAGCTGCAACTCCAGGCAACCTCGTCGTCTTATGAGCTTTGCATAACGCCTTCTGCAGGCAGCCTCCGCAACATCATCAGGGAGGAACTGGCATCCATGACGTGTGAGCAAGTCCCGAGCTCGCATACCCCTCCAAAGCCGACATACGCTCAGGTGGTTGCAGCGTCACCTTCTCAGCAGTCATCGAAGTATGTGTCAACTACGCAGCCCTCACTGAATGCCCTCGCCCCGAAGGCACCGCCTCCTTCTTTCCATGCCTGGCATTTAACTCCACCGATTTGCTATTATTGCGAAATACGTGGCCACATCCCACGGTTCTGTCATCGACGTCAACAAGACGAAAGGCGTGGCTATGGTGACTTCTGGAGGGAGGAGTTTGCCCCTGCTCCACAACATCGCCACCCATACCAACTGTACCAACGCCGCTCACCCTCTCCGCAGCACTTTGATGCAGCCAGTACCTTCCGCTCCTCGCACCGTCGCTCCCCGTCACCTATGCGCCGTTCCTCGTCACCACTTCGTCCGGCTACCACGGCGTCTGATCATCGCCCGGAAAACTAAAGAGTGCAGCTTCAGGAGGGAAAGCTGCATTTTGCGGGCTGCATCGAACTCCTCCGGAACGCCCTTCCAATGTACTTTCAGTGTGTGTTGAGGGTATATGGACTGAAGCCTTGGTGGACACAGGTGCATCGCTCTCAGTTATTAGTATGGACTTGTGTTCCCGTTTACGCAAAGTCAAGACACCGTATGATGGCCCTCCGCTTCGCTGCGCTAATGCGGTTTTTGTTCAGCCTTCTGGTGTTTGCACAGCACGAGTTTTTATTGAGGGCATCCTTCATTACGCAAAGTCAAGACACCGTATGATGGCCCTCCGCTTCGCTGCGCTAATGCGGTTTTTGTTCAGCCTTCTGGTGTTTGCACAGCACGAGTTTTTCTTGAGGGCATCCTTCACCATGTACAGTTCCTCGTTCTGTCTTCGTGTGCTAATGCACTCATTTTAGGGTGGGACTTTCTCTCCTCAGCTTCAGCCGTGATATCTTGCTGTCAGAGGGTCATTCGCATGTCAGATACTGCGCTTTCGTCCGATAAAGATGCTCGTAGCCAGCGCTTCGTCACCGCTGATGACTGTTTTATTCTTCCAGGTAATGAGCATATTCTGACCCTGACATCAGATAAGATCAGTACTGGTGATGTGTTCCCAGCACCGTGTGGACGCTACATCTCTGGTGGACTTACCATCGCTCCTAGCCTGGTGCGCTTTCGTGATGGCAGAGCATTAGTTACGGCAGTTAACCCAACTTCATTGCCTGTTGCCCTGCCTCAGGGCACCAGTGTGGTTTGCTTCACAGATACCGAACCACTTTCTCTGGTGCCCCTTCACGGAGACTCGCCATCTTTCTCTACGAGTACTGATGACCAGGCTACAATGGCTGCTTTAAAAGCCACAATAAATCCCGATCTCACGTCAGCGCAAAAGCAAGAACTTTTGGGTATCCTTCAAAAACACAGTGCTTCATTTGATGTGAATTTCAAGCTTTTGGATCGCACTTCCGTCGCCGTACATCGAATTGAAACGGAAGGCAATACAATTGTGCGCCGCCGCCCATATCGAGTGTCATCCGCAGAGCAGAAAATCATCGAGAACAACGTTGCTGATATGCTCAAACAAGATGTTATCCGGCCTTCGTCCAGCTCGTGGTCATCACCTGTAGTGCTAGTCCGAATGAAGGATGGTTCGGTGCGATTGTGCGTCGATTATCGAGCAGTTAATAAGATCACGCGAAAAGACGTGTACCCGATCCCACGAGTCGACGACGCACTTGACTCTCTGCAAGACGCTGAATTTTTCTCCAGCCTGGATTTACGGTCTGGTTATTGGCAAATACCTATGCACAAAGCGGACAAAGAAAAAAACTGCCTTTGCAACACCAGACGGGCTCTATGAATTCAACGTGATGCTATTCGGTTTATGTAATGCTCCTGCCACGTTTGAACGCATGATTGACACAGTTCTACGCAGCCTAAAATGGAAAACATGTCTATGTTATCTAGATGACATCGTCATTTTCTCCTAGATGACATCGTCATTTTCTCTACTTCTTTTCGTCAGCACCTTGATCGTTTAGACGAAGTTTTGACGTGTATTTCTAATGCTGGACTTCAGCTAAACACAAAGTAATGCCATTTCGCCAGCAAGAACAACAAGGTGTTGGGCCACCTTGTCAGCAAAGATGGCATTTGCCCGGATCCTGACAAGCTTGCTGCCGTGATATGCTTCCCTCGGCCGGAAAATCAGAAACACCTACGAAGTTTTCTGGGCCTGGCATCCTACTTCCGCCGCTTCATCAGCCATTTTGTTGCCATCGCGTCGCCACTGCATAAGCTGCTGACATCCGCATCAAATTTCGCTTGGAACGACGACTGCGAGCGTGCCTTTCAAGCCCTCAAGCATGCTTTAACATCCGACCCTCTTCTGTGCCATTTCGACGAGAACGTACCTACATGTCTCCACACCGACGCGAGTGGCCATGGTATTGGCGCAGTTCTTCTACAGCGGGATGCCACTTCACGGGAAAGAGTTATTGCGTATGCTAGTCGTGCTCTTACGGCTGCTGAACAGAACTACTCCATAACTGAGCAGGAGTGCCTTGCAGTCGTTTGGGCCGTACAAAAATTTCTACCGTATCTTTACAGACGCCACTTCACAGTTATTACAGACCATCACGCCTTGTGCTGGCTATCGTCACTGAAAAACTTGTCTGGTCGCCTCGGTCGTTGGGTGCTCCACCTACAAGAGTACAATTTTGACGTCCCCTATAAATCTGGCAAAAGACACCAAGATGCAGATGCTCTCTCTCATTGCCCCCTTCCACTGTCATCATCGAGTACGTCAGCTGATTGCTCGTCTGGTGGGCAAAGCACTGCGTCACCCCTCACATTATCACCACTTGCGGTTATCGATACGGAGGCTTCAAATCACTACACTGAGTTCGCCAAACGCCAGCGTGATGATCCATATTGCAATAGCATTATTCAACGCCTAAATGGTATATCACGTACTCCTAATGCTAGATTGCACCGACAACTACGACAATTTAAGCTCTATAACAATGTGCTCTATCGTTACGTTTACACTACTGATGGACATCACTAGGTTCCAGTACTTCTGCGTTCTCTACGTCACCAAGTCCTCGAAGCCTTTCACGATGACCCATGTGCAGGCCACTTGGGATTTCACAAAACACAAAGCCGCATCAGGAAACGTTTCTTCTGCCCTGGCATCTCTACCTTTGTGGCCAAGTACGTTGCATCTTGCCATCTGTGTCAACGGCGGAAGCGACCAACTTCGTCTCCTGCTGGCCTTCTGCAACCCATCCCGTGTCCCGAGGCTCCTTTCGCCATGGTTGGCATAGACCTACTAGCACCTCTCCCCATCACACCAGCAGGTAATCGTTGGATTGTGACTGCTGTCGATCACCTGACACGGTACGCAGAGACTGCTGCACTACGCACAAGTTCTGCTCCAGATGTCGCAGACTTCTTTCTCAACGCCATTGTATTGCGTCACGGTGCACCTTGCGTCCTCCTGTGTGATCGCGGCAAGACGTTCCTGTCCACCATAATCGAAACCCTGCTCACAACCTGTGGTACAGCACCTAAGACGACGTCAGCCTACCACCCCCAAACTAATGGGCTGACAGAGGGATTTCATACAGAGGGATTTCATCGGAAACTAACAGAGATGCTATCAACTGTACATCGCACCAAGCCACGACAACTGGGATACGATTTTGCCTTTTGTGACGTTTGCCCATAACACCGCTGTTCAAAGAACTACTGGCTATTCGCCTTTCTACCTCGTGTACGGCTGTTCACCGACATTCACCATTCCTAAATCTTCCAACTGACGCCTCAGCAACCGTATCAGAGCAGTTCATCACAAGGCTCGAGGAATGTCGGCAACAGGCTCGCCTTAATACAGAAGCCAATCACCAAGATCCCAAGCAGCGCTACGACAGCTCTCATCGTGACGTCTCCTTCAGTCCGGGGAATGAAGTGCTTGCTTTGGACGCCCATTCGTACTCCAGGATTGTGCGATTAATTTCAGTCACGTTTCATTAGATCCTATACAATCCATGAACAAACGTCACCAGTGAACTACCGTGTCACTCCCAGCGACCTTTCTTCGAATCGTCGCTGTCGTGGTTCGGAGATTGTCCATGTATCGCGTCTGAAGCCATTTGTTCGACGTTCCGTTTCCGTCTAAGACGCGTCTGGGCTGGCCGCTCACGCGTGGGGGGGAAATAAGTGTGAGCATTATTCATGCGCGTCATCTTATCATATGTACATACTCATCATCAACAGTCTGACCTGTGTTGTGGGACAGAGGCTCGGCAAGTAAAAGAAGTCTTTCAGCCAAAACGTTGCCTTACAATAATATATTCTATAAAAAAATTTCAAGCAAGATTCATAAATAAGAAGTTGAAGTTTGTCCACTTTACTGAAAAATTTGGAAGAGTTGGCAGGTATTTATGGATGACTACAGCGGAATCTCGATAAATTGAACAGTGCGGAGATCACAGAACCTTTTCATATAGCCAAAATTCTATATATAAAGTCACATGACACACGAGTCAAGCTCAATCATACCTGGATGCCCTAGAGTCATTGCGGTGGTGCCTCGGAGCTGGCTTTAATGTCTTCGAGGAGACTGCGTGCTGCACTCTCCATGCTAGCTTGCAGCTGTTGCCCAGTTGGGTCTACAGAAGAATAACAGAAAAATCAAAACAAAGAACAATTTTCTTTTTTGTACAATTTCAAGTCTGCAGACTTTTCTGACCCAGAATCAGTCATTTGTTTGTTCTAGCATGTCTAAAAATCACATATTTCGAAACCTATACGGCCTGATTCACCCCCCTTAAGTAAGCTTCACCTGAGTGCACATGTGGGCAGCTAAAAACGCACCGAAATAAAGGGCACTAATTTTTTTGACAAGTCTAATGGTAATAATATTTGGTCTGGCAACAAGTTCTTTATCTGCCGAGTCAATGTTTAGCCACAGGTAAAAGTACTTTACGCACATTTTTTTGCACGTGTTCCAAAAGTTTGCAGAGTTCCAAAAGTATAATGGTTAAGCCATTAGAAGAAATATAGGCAGAAAATCTGTGTGGGCCACATATTTCCACGTGGCATCTACGAATACCAATCCATCTCACGGCCTCTGCCCGAACGGACGCTGATACCTGGCGCAAGTTCAACGAATCCCAGTTCAGTGGTGACCCGTATGTTCACGAAGAACACCTTACGGCATCTGTTCTTGAGGCTGGTAAGCCAGTTCATGAGTAACTTGCTAATCCCGAATTACTTGTCAAATGCCTCCATAGGAAAACTCAAAACCCCAACGAGTCATTCAACAATTTTATGTAGGAGCGCGCTTCAAACAACATGTTTCTCAGACTTCTAATGCTGAAGGTATGCCGTCTTGACACTGTAATCACCTTTAATGATGGCAATATAGCCTGTATGAATGCACTGAATGCGTTTGGAGTTTTGCCAGGTCACTACACAGTGCCGGGCCTACACGCACTTGACCTGCAATGACAGTACTTTGCTGACACAGCTGCGAAGCAGGCGAAAAAGGAGGTGAGGCCCGCCAGGCCAGACGCCTCAAATTGAAAAGAAAAAGTGATACTAGTGATGAGTATATGGCTGGTGCCTATTAAAATGTCCTTCAATTGGTGGTTATCTCGTGGTGCTTTTGAAATAAAGCATCTCAAAACTAGCTTTTTTGTACTTACGTACCTTTTTCTTAGCAACCGCTGTACTATCTAGAAACATAGATTTCAAGCAGTATTTAGAGAACGTGCCAGAGAGTATACTGAAGCAGAATTATTTTCGTGTGAGGAAGTACTTTTTCTAACACGACATCTAATACTGATTAACAGGTGATAATTAGGTACCTCAATTAAAATAATTACAAGAAATTAGGATTAGAAGTTTCAAGGATGATTCTGCTTCAGTAAGAGGAGGAATGGGTTATGATCACAATGATAGTAAAATAACTATAACATTTATGGTTATGGAGAAAAAGGTACATAAACTCTGCCTAAAATACATGGTGGGTATAGGACTTACCCTGTTTCCCTTAAGTGCTGTTATGGCATGATCACCACATAGAATACAGCTAAACTCAATCCAGTGGCAATGTGTTACATATTGAGCTTAAAACATGCCTGAAATACACAGTCGACTCCTGAGCAAGTGTACTCTTCTTTTTCTCGAATGCAACCATAGCTGTGAGTACAGCGCTGTGCCCTTTTCTTCTTTCTCTCCATAACTCATCTACTGCGCTGTCAGTTATTCTATAATCATATGTACTATTCTAAAAAGCATTACATTAGAAGCACAGGTGTGAATTCTTTATTTTTGGCGACTCTTCTGCTGCCACCCAGGAAATTTGATTTGTAACCGAGCAAGGGGCACCTCCAACCCCCCTCCAAATTATGCCGGAATACCTTTCAATGTAGCATAGGTGCTTGTTCAGAATATTAAGACAAATGCTTATTGCAAGTAATAGGCATACACAGGACTCTCGGCAAAAGTAAATCTGTTGAATGGAACAAATGCCATGACATGGCTGGTTTTATATGACATGGCTGCCATGACATAGCTGGTTTTATACCGGAGTTAAGTGCCCCATTTGTTTCTCAGTAAATAGAGCTCCTATTAAACGGGACATACTTAGCTCGTCCTTCTAAGTTAATTTTAATGAGTCTCCACTGTAATTAACATGCTTTTTATCAAATGCAACAATTATCAGAACATTCAGCAGCATAAACCTTTTGCAAAATGACGGTAACCCCTCGTGCATGCTGAGTTTCTAACACCACTGTGAAAAATGACCATGGAAAGCACATGAAACGACTCTGCATCAGGTCTCAGCGAGTGTGCTGTAGGGTTCTGACACACCTGTGCGTGGCTACGTAGTGCCCTAAGCAAGCTGCCAAAGACAATGTCCGTTCAAAATATTCACTCTAAATCGCTTCTTTATTTCAGAAACCAGGTGATACGTGTTTCCTTGTCGTCTGTCTTGTGGGTGCAAGCTTGGTTCCTTGAAATGAGATGCGTGGAATATCCACGCATGCTTGTCTACTTGCATTACAAATGCGTCATTGACTACCATAGGCGACGATAACTACGGTGGAAGGCCTCAACTGCAGAGGCTACAACATTTATCCCGTTTTACATTACAATGAATTCCATCAGAGCCCCACGCGCAAAAAAAAGGGGCAAGCGAATGAAGAAATACAGCATCTTGTGTACTGATGCATGTGGCTGTCTCGGATGGCCAGTGTGTGGCCTCCTAGCTTGTCACAACCTCTGCTGCTACGACTCTAATTCCTCGGTGAAAGAAATGCAGAAATTTTATGTTTACGATGTCATACCCATTTTCATTATTTTATGAGATTCATATGAACAATCATAGGAGGGCGGTCCGATAAGTACCTAGCCTCACCCTGATAGCGCGACACTATCACATGAGACATATACTGACGTTGAATACGCTTTCTTAGAGAGGCACGTGCAAAGCTCCAGTCGCATTGGACTCGCGGTTTCGTTTTGGCCGATTGAGAAAGCAGATGATTTTCGTGTTAAAATGGAGAAGGAGCAACATCCGTCGGTGATTAGATTCTTGTTTTTGGAAGGGAAATCGCACAGTGAAACAAAAGAGCGACCAGATGCTGTCTGGGGTGAGTCTTCCGCATTGATGGTCACCGTCAAAAATCGGTTCAACGTTTAAATGTTGTCGTACATCGGTTTTTTATGAGCCTCACCTAGGAGCCCTGCAGACGGCTACCACGGCCGAGAATATGGCGAAAATCCACGACCTCATACTGGCAGACCGTCGACTGAAGGTGTGCGAGATAGCTGACACGGTAGGCATTTCAAAGCACTACGCAAGTCATATCCTGCATGAAATTTCAGGCATGAGAAAGCTGCTGGCACAATGAAAGCCGCGTTTGCTGAGTCTAGACAACAAACGTGTCTGTGAGACCACTTTAGAGCAGTGTTTGGAGCTGTTTAAGCGTAATCCAGAGGAGTTCCTGCGTCATTTTGTGACCATCGACGAAACACGTATTTACTGGCACACACCAGAGACCAAAGAACAGTCCAAACAGTGGTCTGCACTCGGCGAACATGCTCCTAAGATGGCGAAGGCTATCGCATCGAGCGGAAAGGTAATGGCCACCATTTTCTGGGATTCTTAAGGTGTGATCTTCGTCAACTACCTTGAGAAGGGTAAAACAGTGACAGGACCCTACTACACCAAAATACTGGGCCAATTTGACCCCGCATTACGAAAAAAAAGCGGTCACATTTTGGTGAAGAAAAAGGTGCTCTTTCACTATGACAACGCGGGAGCTCAAACCTGCGCCATCGCCACGGCCAAGTTGGTCGGACTCGGCTACAAAGTAGTGCCCCAGCCAGCGTATTCGCTAGATTTGGCCCCGAGTGACTTTTTCAAATTGTGAAACAAGAAGAGTAATTTCTTCTTGTTTCTAAACTTGGAAAAAGTCCCTCGCCGGACAAAAATTTGAGTGGAATGAAGAGGTTATCACCTCCGCAGAATTCTATTTTGCAGCCCAGGAGAAAACACAATCTTCTGACGGGTGAAGAAGTTGGGGGATCTCTGGGTCAAGTGCATCGAGTTCAAAGGGGACTATGTTGAGAAATAAATTGATACCATTCCGAAATTTTCGTTTTCCTTTTGAAGGCTAAGTACTTATGGAACCGCCCTTATATTTAATAACTGTGCACCCTTTTCCCCATATCTGGTCCCGTTATCATGGAGTTAGTTCTGTGGTGATGGCAATATAAGGCTAAACAAATTAACTAGCACCAGGTGGTTTTCCTAATCAGTGCTCATAATACTTTACCTTTACATGAGTTTTGAAAATGCCTTTAGACAAATTCAACACAGATGGTCCACGTATGCATAGAAGTTGTATAACATTACAATGTTATTCCCTATTTGGGTTGCTTATGAAATGTCAAGGGATAAAACTGGCCGTGCCTGTAATACTACTGACAGCTAATGCACATGACAAGAGTTGGATCCGTCTGCATAAAGGTTTTCCATGCACGAGGTATCTAAACATGATGTGCATAGGCTGAAAAGCTTTCACTATGCTGCACTGCAAGACTACTTGGAGCATTCAGCCAGCAAAGAAATGGGGCAAGTGTAACGAACCAGTAGCCATCATTTCGTCAGCCACGCAGTCGAGCTTCTCCGAGGCGTCGGCTTCCATGATGCTGTCCAGAAGCTTGTAGCTCTCCTCATTGTCCCCTACGGAAACATCGAAGAGGTTAGCAAGCTATCACCAATCCTGCTTGCATGAACGTTTCCACCTGCCTCGTTTTAGACCAGCTCAGCCAGTTTATCAGATAGCGGGCCGGTTGCTAGTTCGCACCCGCCTCCACTGGCCATTAATATTGTCATAATATCACATTTATTTCCTTTCAGGGTCATTTTGTAAGTGTCTCAATTCAACATCTGCAACAGTAAATCTTTATCCTCAATCACAAAAATGCTTACATTATTAATCAACCACTTTTTAAAATCCCTTAAAGTGTAGCGATCATTGGAATACAGCGCATCATTGTGTGTGTATGGTACACGAATATCTGATATTTTTGCAGCCTATACCCTTCGTACATTTCAAAGTTCGCTTGTGTCTATAATGCCATAGGCCTGTTGGATTCACATGCAAGGAAGAGCGTTTTATGGACAAAGCATTGCGGTTACTTTTCAGTGCAGCACATTTCAAACAATAAGCGAAGTGCCGCTCCAATCACAAATACTTTTATGCCAGCAACTGAACTAACTGGTTAGCTCGGCGTACTGTTTTCGTTTGTGAATTGAGTTTATTCAGCTCAAGGAAAGCAATGTAACGGTAAATGGCACTGCATGCATAAGACTTGATGTAGCATCGATTGTTCAATTAATCTATTTCCTGTTAACCCCCCTCCCCACCCTCTCAGTGAGCCTTTTTTTTGGGGGGGGGGGAGGTGGCAATTTCAGCTTGCTTCAGTCCAACATCATTAAAGCGTCCCTGGCAGCAGAAGTGTTGTTTGCGACTTATTCACAGTAATTTGTAGCTCCGAGTCTGGTAATGCTGAAATCGAACTGTCAATGCTCTACTGCAGTCTACATATAATTAATGCTGGTGTCATTACTTTATAACGGTTATTGAACAAAACAATCATCTCGAGTTCCCAAATTTGGTGTCAGGTGTTCTTTAACAAAGGTTCATTGACATCTACTTGAGATGTCAGTGGTATCAAACTGAAAGTGATTTTTTCCGGATCTTCAGAGCACAGGAGCAGAGTGCTGGCTTATTAGCTATGAGGAAGGCAACTTGCTAATACTAAGTACTGATAGCTAGACTTGGTGCCATATAATGTTAGCAATAGTATGGTGTCTGTCATAACCATATCTTTGTTTTGACACGTTAAACCACTACAATTATATTAATGGCAGCTTCAGAAAAATAGCGTGATGGCAGCTCTCATTATACAAGTTATCCCCATTCTACGTACTAGTTTAAAAGGGTATCCCTTCTTAAATAGAAATGCCCATAATAATGTGACATTTAACAACTGATTGCTGTGGCCCATACATGTTTTCAGTAAACAACACTACTGTTATATATGCAACATAATTTTCTGGCCCCTTCAGATTCGATTTATTGGTCTCAACTATGCTTGTTAAATGTGAAACTACTATACAATTCACCATATTTGACAAATGACAGTGCTGTCAGCTTCTAACGCTGAAAAAAAAGTGCATGTAAGCAGGTCTTTTCTCGGTACCTTGTAAAACATTTTGGTGCATCTCAAACCTGAATCTTAACTACTGGTGTACATCACATGCGGTGACACTGTTCGTACTACGGTGCCTTATTTGTGTTCAGTCCTAAGTTTTTGATAGCATCCAATAGAAGTCAGTAAAATCCTAATTTTGTTCATCCTTCCGACTTAGGCGCACTTCTGCGCCATTTTAGCTAGAGCCGTACGGTCTCGTGAATAACAAGTGGGTCAGACTTGCTGGCCTGACCGTTCATGCGCTTGTATAGACTAGGATGTGTCCTTTACCCATAGAACATCACTTTAGTCACCATGTCATTACACCATAACATCCTTCCAAGTACTTAAGGTCTTATGTACATGAGACACCACCCACTGATCACTCACTGAAAATATTCACAGGATCCAGGCAGACAAGCAAATGTTACTAGATAAAGCATATGGCTGTCACAGAAATTAGCATCGATTTATCCAAAAGGTGCACTAGGACTAGATGAGAAACTATCATTGAAATTTAAAAATAAGTTTTAGCCAACTGGTGGCACCTAGGATGTGCCCAAGTCTCAGTGCCTAAACCTACCTGTACAGGCCGCGAATCTTTTTTGTCAAACGGCTCAGTAGCAAAACGGTTGGGACCAATTTGCATTCCCATGTTTTGTGCCAAGCGCACACATTGATGGGGCCACATGCCAAGCGCGGTCTCTCAGAGCAACTGTTGCAGTGGAGCTACTTACAAACCATACATCTAACTCTACCTGAACATAGGCGAAGTGTGAGTGTGTCACCTCTAAGCTCAGACTCTGATTGATTGGCCTTCCCGTGAATGCCACTCGGTGCCCTCTCATCCTCAGCCCTGAATCACTAAGCGTTGACTTAATATGGGTGATGTCCCATGTGCCACAGGCTACCTTTAGGGTTGGCACAAGAACCCTGTTTCTATACTTCTTAACTTTGGTGAACTGCTGCCCCGTCAGACTGGCACATCAATCTTGTTTGGCTGACTGTTCTTGTGAAAGCGTCAGCCTCCTGCCATCCCACTGTGCTGCATGTCTGGAACCTAGTAGGTGCCATGTTGAAGAGTGAAGAAATGCTGCTGAGGTGTAATCTACACCAAGATTTCTCTCTACACTGACCATTGCTAGCCCAGTGAGCACTCTGCAAGCCCATTCATACAGGTCATAGGCACCAAACAACTGAGGTGAGAAATTTACTATGATTAAAGCATTGAAACACAGAAAGAAACCCTTCAGTGCCTCACACCCATGCATTCATTCAGTGGTAAACTACAGAAGAAGGCAAGTACTTTACTTACCACAGCACTGTGCTGCTAAGCGCAGGGTGCCAGGTTTAATTGCCGACTGCACAGGCGACATTTCAATGCAAGTGAAAAAAAAAAAAGGGATGCCTACCAAGGATTAGGTGCACATTATAGAATATAGATGGCCAGAAGTAAATCAGAGCCAGTTTCTCACAACTGTCAGAAAGCAAACAGTGACTGCACAGCAGCTGAGAGACGGGATTAAATTTCAGTGCAAATGAAACCGGTTAGTCCTCACGAAAACACACTACAGACTGGCATACGTCGCTCATGAGTTGCAGAAGCTCTCATTTTGACTGATCGTAACAACGTAAAAGTAGCGCAAAAAGACACGGACAAGAAAGGGCACACCACAAGTCCTTACTCACAACTGAAAGCTTTGATGCTTGAATTGAAAATATATAACATACACTTGGTGCTCAACACAATCCCGCGCATGCGCATCGCGGGCAAAACAAAAGGCAATAATACAAACCAAGGACAAACCACATGCACTCCCCTTTCCATCAATCTACCCCCTTTCCATGAGTGAGGCTCTTTGATTTTCAGGCCTCTGGCAGCTCTCTAGCAGCCAGAGCTAGCCAGAGGGTCAGTCCGCTAGTTCTGGTGTGGACAGGAAACAGCATTGTAGTCACGTGTGTGGGGAACCCGAGACAACCCAAAGCTGCCCGAAGATCGCAAAATCGAACACGGGGACAGCTTGCGTAAACGTTAACAAACTCTATCGTCGTGGCAGCAAACGAAACAATGCGCTGCGTGCATGTTGCTTTTTTTCTGCATTGTCCGCTTGGAAATACCTAGCTAAGCTCGCCAAAAAGCTGAAATATCATCCTCGAGCGTACGCATTTGAAGAACGACTTCGTACGCTCGCACGATCACTCGCCGCGTCCACGAATCAAACAGCCAGCTGGCACACGCTGCCTCGAGAACGATGCAAGGTGAGCTGCCGCGACGCTGACGGCTTGACAAGCTCACATCTTTTTAGTACATGTAACAATCACTGCACAACACGACGCGGAATCATGCGAAAGTGATAGTGTCCCCAAAAGAGCTTGAGGATATATACCTGCTCAGCTATCGCGTATTATACGTGCACAACACACGTTGACCAACCTACGTTTTCGTCTGAGGTTTAGACATGCGCAGGTATTGGTACCCCGAGTGCACATTGTGTATAAAAAAACTGTGGGTTGAAACTGTGTATGACACAGTTTCAACCCATTTTAGAGCTTGCCTTCGCCTATTTCCCAGTCCTAAGTGGCACTTGACAAATGTAATGTATATGAGCTTTGATTTGACCTAGCTTGGTCATAGTACATACTGCGCGGCATTATTACGAAGAGGGGAAAAAAGACAAAGCCAACGATGAAATGGGCCACGAAAGGATGTATACATTTCTGTATCCCATTGTTCTTTTTTTTTTCCTCGCGTCATATCGTATAATATTGTTACGGACCACCCAGTAACAATATCATACCACATATGCTGGCCTATAGATCAAAGTGGGTTCGCACGCTGTTCGCGACCAGCGAGCATCAGCAACAGTCGCGATCTAGGGCCCTCTATCATCATCAAAGATCAATCGAGTAGTCAGGACAGAGGTTCTAAGAGGTTCACGTACGCAAACATACAACGGAGCGAGCTAGTTCGATCACAATCGTCTTCGCTAAGTGCACAGATAGCAGGCACGGCTCTACAAACGACTACTACGAAAAAAAGAAAAATTAACAGCAAAGTTGTCTCCATGCGTGCGTACGAACGTGTAGTATGTAACTTTTGAGGCATGTGCACGACGCAGCCAGCAGACAACAGTTCGCCGCATTGTCCACAGGAGGAAGCTTCACGGGAAACATAACAAAAGTGATGAACATTAGCTTCAAACACTCGCCACCATTCCTAATCGCCTCATCTCGCAAGCGGAACAGGCTTCAGAAGATAACGCCATGCGTAATGACAAGCACCCACATTGCGATCCATCGAGTCCTCGCAAAGATGGCACTAAGCGCGCATCGTACCTTTTCGGCGTCTGCTAGCCTGAAACCTGCCCAAAATCTCCCAGAAAGCTTCCACAACTTAATTATCCTGGAAGTGTCTGGCGACCCTCTGGCTTCCCGCGGGTCGCCAGAACCGTTCAACCCGATAAAAACGAACCCCAACTGGAAGTATGCCACGAGGGGGACGGAGCAACTCGAGAAGATTGAGCGCGCTCTGGCTGGCTCTGGCAGCCCACGGGTAGCCAGAAGTGGAAAATCGAAGAGTCCCAGTAGCGCAACTTCCTAGTCCAATAAGGCCAAAGAAGGATTGCTAACGCACATGAGAGCCCTCGCGTTAATGGGGTAGGCCTAGACAAGTTCTCGTGTCGTGCGATCGAAGTGTCCAAACAAAATTTTGGTGTCAGAGAATAGCGCTTCACACTGGCACTCAGCGCAGTGCATGGCCAGGTGTGTTAGGGGTCTTCCCTGCAAGGAAGACCGATGCACCCTAAGAAGAATGGTTAAACATCGGCCGGTCTGGCCCACGTAGGCACAACCACACGACAGAGGGATGCAACAGAGAACGTTGGCCCTACACGACACGAATCTAACCTTGTGGTTAATAATAGAACCGCGCATCCCGACCTTATCAAACTTGTCGCTGACCATAGAACATAGTCTAGCTAGCTTGTTTTTAGCAGAAAAAACGACTTTCAAGCCAAACCGCGGTTTTCTTAAGCCAATGTGAGAGCGCGTGCACATATGGCGTCACAGTTATTTTATCATTACGAGCCATGTTTTGACTGCGTGCATCGATACCTTTTATCTGTTTGACAAGGCACAGGCAGGTGGTACGTATCACAGAGACAGTGAAGGCTACGTTTTTTAGACGATCCACCTGCTCTTGAAAGCTGCGCAGAGCGAAATGCGTGCAAAATCTGTACACAGCGAAGTTAAAACACGATGAAGCAATGTCATTTTTCACCAGCTTAGAGTTGAAGGGACGGTAGCTCAAGAGGGGTTTAGTGAACCAGAGTGCGTACATCCAGCAGATGCGCTGTGACGAAAAATGCAAGGATAAATCGAGAAATCGTAAGGTATTGTCCACCGTAATTTCACAGGTAAAGTTCAGACCTCTGCCTCGGTGGGTAAAAGCTTGCAACACCTCATCTACAAATGACTCGATTTCAACACTTCTCGTCAAAACCAAAAAATCGTCGACATACCAAAAAAATTCTAATGGTTATATCCTGCAAATCTGCTTCCAAGTCCCTGTCAACCTTGCTCAAAAATGAGCTTCCAGTTGTGAGTCAGTGCTATTAGTGTACCCTTTCTTGTCCGTGTCTTTTCACGCTACTTTTACGTTGTTATGAATCAGTACCAACTCGCTCGCCTCTCCGTTTTGCTTGACTGATCAGTTGGGTTCACAGCTCCCTACCTGCCACTGAAATCATCTAACTATTGTCACAAGTATTGCAAATACATCCTATTTGTTTGCACTGCCTTTCTTTTGCATACCCACGCGACCCTAGTTTCGCTAGCTGCATGCTCTTCCCTAGTGGATCCCTTACATGCACTTTACTTCTGTTTCAATAACCATATTGTAAGAAAAAAAAACGGCAATAATATAAAATCATTAACAAAAAAAGCACGGCATCAGACATAATGTAGCATAGAGCTCAAGGGACAGGGAGAAGACTACATACAGACTAGTGTGTTGACTTATTTGTTCCTGGTATCCCCACTATCAGTTCATTAAGATGAAAAGAGTGTATGCCCTGGTGAAGCGCACGAAAGCATCCTTCTTGCTATAAAACACCGTGACACACGAAAATGTCACTCACATTTTATGCGTGCCACCTCCTTGGAACCTGGAAAAGCAAGCAAAAATAAGAAGAAAAGGTCAGTGTGCTTGATGTCTTCAATATGAGACAATTAAGATGAAACGAAAGCCTCGTTTATGCGAACTAAGAAGTGATATTGCTATTCAAGCTTGCTGGAGATCTGTAGGAGCAGAGAATGTGGTGTGTAGCTAGCATCAGATGTGTCGATTCCCTCCTTTGTCTGGCCTCACCCGCAATAATCCATCAATGCTATTCCACCTGTGATAACCAATAATAAGAACTAATAATCCATTTATGCAAATTAATGAGGTGTGCACTGCGGAAATAAGGGGTCATTTGAGATTGTCCTTTTTGTGCACTGATCGTGATGAGTATGTTCCAACTAGCCCAATTAGCTACCATACTGATTCAACCTGCCACGTTTAAACAATGGGTGTTATCCAATACTCACCGTAGACATCTAAATAGACAGCTAAGTGGACAGCAGCCATCATAAGTCCCCTTCCTATTCTCACCAGCCAGCAAAATAGAAAGCTTCGCAAAGACAGCATTGGAGGCAAATACGATGCAGGCTGCTTTGCTGTCGAAACAAGATAACGGTTCAGCAAAATGCTCGCATCTCGCCAAAGTGGTCGTCCGCCTAACTCTGCGTACATTTGAACATGAAATAAGCTGTAGAAGTAACAGTTATTTTTGTTTTTCTAGCTCCCTCTTCTTGACGCGAGTTGGCGACTCATTGCGTAGACGTCCTATAAACGGGTTCCGTTTCTCAGACAGCATGGGCTCGATGCTGTCTTTCTATACTGTCAACATAAACTGTCCATGATGCTGTATAGAATCGGAACACAGCCAATGTTGACTTTGGCACCTGCGCCAGTATTACCATTATGTGCTGCAGTCGGGTCATTGCTAGAGATCGTAGCGAGCTACCATGTATAGGATGGAGGTCCAGTATTCGTCCTGAGCTCTCCCTTTCTTCATGGTGCCAAGTTTAATGACTGCCGTCAGAGGGCTTAACTGCAGAAGATTGATGTTTGTTATATCTGCACAGAAATGTGGCCTCAATAAGTACTACTTCTGATGTCTGTGCATGTCTCGTACAGCCTCAACTCTGTCTCAAGTTCTGTACTTTTTAAACATGATTTCTAACTACCGTATTTACTCGCATAATAGGCGCACTTTTTTTTTTCAGAAAATCCGGCTCGAAGTTAGGGGTGCACCAGTTGCGCGGGGTAAAATTTTCCAATTTTTTTTTTTTTTCGACTTGGTTCTCGCACTATAAATCTGCATGTTTGTCAAGTAAGAGGTGACTTTATCATTTACCAATTATTTCAGCATGAAACAAACATATCTACGTACCTTTTAATGAACAAGCAAGAACCGTCAACTGCACACACACACAAAATTTATTTACACAAAAGTTGTAGGTGTTCCTCCTTTTCCCTATTTCAAAGTCCGAGTCGGAGAGCACACATTCATTCTCACCAAGCGGGGATTCGTTTTCAGTGTCCAAATCATCCACACTCCATATGTCATCCTCACTCGCAACCAGTGCATTTGAGATACCCGTCTTCTTAAAGGTTCTTCTGACGACTTCGTCGGAGATCACCTGCCACGTTTCCACGATCCAAGCACACAGCATTTCCACAGGCAGCCTGTTATTCTTACCACCTGGAGTCAGCTGATGTCCTCCAGCCATCCAGGCGAAATTACAGCCTTCGAACATTGCCCTTAAAAGGCTTATTCAAGGACAAGTCAAAAGGCTGAAGTATTGATGTGAAGCTGCCCGGAATCACTGCCAGATCTGTGCATAGCTCCTTTAGCTCATCTCGTACGCGGTCTACTAGGTGCCTACGAAAACTGTCCAGGACAAGCATGGACGGGAACAATAGACCACCCGGCTGCTGACCCCAAACTGCTTTCACCCAATCCACCATAAGTGTTGCACTCATCAGTTTTTTTCCTGTATACTGAGTTAGATGCCTCGAGGAAAATTTGCCTTTGGGAGTGTCTTATGCTTAAAAATAACGTAAATGCTGGTGTTGACAGCAGATGGGCTTGCGCCCATCTGCTGTCACCACCAGCATTATGGTGCATCATTGTTTATCAGCGCCAGACGTTTTGCCGATGACGCTCCATGCACCTTTCTCCTCCACTTTCATGTTCCGCGGCATATCAAAGCAAAGGGTGTCCAATCAGCATTGCCAATCTGAGACAACATGAAGTATTTCTGCTGTCAGAGCTTTATAACGAAACAGTGGAAGTCCACCACTTTAGCCTCATATGCTGTGGGCAAGCGCTGGCTTTCCCGGTGCGAGGCCATGGCGCCGCATGAAACAAGTTGTCCATCCGGAGCTGGCTTTGAACTCTTTTGCTTCGATTCATTGCGCTTGGGCTATTCTGCGTGCCTCAGTCTGCACAACATCCTATGACACAGCAAAACCGTCTTGTCGTAGCTTCCGCATATGCCGGACCAGTTGCTCTTAGACGTTTGGATCCCTGCCGGTCTTGGTACTGCAGAAAGCCGGTCGTGTCTTCTTTGTCGCCTTAAGTTTTCTTTTCTTGATCTCTCCAGTACTAAATACTGGTTTTTCCAACACCGAAATGCCTGCTTGGCGCCCGATTGCCGTGCTCCAGCTCGAACTGCACTGCCTTCCGTTTATATCCAGCCGTGTAGCTTGCGTACTTCCCCATGGTGGAACGAAAGTTGAATACACGACCACAACATACGCACACCGCTTGCAAAATGACGTTTCTTTCTTTTTCTCTGATGGTGGTGATGGCCATCGAGCCCCCGGCATTGTACACGTGACCTCCAAGGAGCCCGGTGATTTTGGGGGTATCAGTAATTGATGGAACAGCCTTACGTTCTTTTTTTTTCCTGCTCATGGACTGTTTTTTTTTTAGTTTTATTTTGACAAACAGATTGATTAGGTCATTGCACTTCAAATTTTTTTTATTTGCTCGTCGATTTGCCTTGTTTCTTTCTTCAGGGTACGGGGACCGCGTTCCAACTGTACCGCTGGAGGGTAGAATTGTTTCTAATCACGGCCAAGTTCAGGGCGCACCTATATTATGTGAGTACGCCGATTATGCGAGTGCAAGTCTGTCATAAACTTATGAGGCAGCGCCCTGGGGACACACTGCGTGCAAGAAAGGTGCTCTTATTTTATCCCAAAATAGCTACTACAGCTCCAACCAAACACATGTTTCATGCTACCGTTAACTTACATTTTGGGCATAGATGTATCGTATATCACTTGTGTCATTTGAAGCGTCATATTAGTCCGGTAACTGGGCAGACACCTCCAGCATCCCCTAAAGGGCCCTTCATCAACAAAATCCGAAACCTCGAGATGTTTGTGTTGTTTGTTTGTCCTGTATATGTAGGCTCTTTAGGCCAATCATTAGTTGGAAGTGTTGTCCATGTGGGATTTTAATTTGGTTTTAAAGTGAGAGTGCTCATTCGAGTTGGCAGCACCTCTCGACACCGCCTGCAGTATGACACGGATGAAAGCCCTGAGTGACATTCATTAAGAAATGTGAGTATAGCACAGACCACTTATAATGTAACCGCTTATAGTGCAAGACTGGCTACAATGCGGTCTTTTTCCACTCCCTTAAAACACTTTACCCTCCCATAGAACTCCACATGAATGCATCGTTGTTGATCTCCTGGCTCTCCTGCTAACACAAAGTTCGTACCATGCATGCTGTTCTTGGTTCAGTGCTTGAGCATGATTTTTCTGATGCCCGATCTTGTCCTGGACAAACTTACCACAACAACATGCTGAATGGCAGGCTAGTCCTAATCAGCGTCGGTTGCATTTTGGTAACGGGGACGTGCAATCTAAGTTGCCGTTTAGTATGGAATTAATGAAACTCTTTGCAGTGGCTGCACTTGAAGGCAAGGAGTACATATGGTTAATAAAAATGAGGGTGGCACGCATGTGCAGCACTCAAATAGTGGCTCGTGATTTGATTGCGATGTCTTGAAATCATGTGCACAGCCGTGAAATAGAACAATTGGCGTATTTCAATGCGTAAAATTTAGGACGTGATTCAACATAGTTTCTGTGTAACGCACGTAATGAAGGCGATCTGAGAAGCAGTCGGTAAATTTCTGCGATGATGCTTTCTCTTTTTTTAAACACCACCGCTCGTGTTTCGCATTCATTTGATTGGGAATGTGGGACTGTGGACGTTAAATTATTTTAACATCTGAAAATTTACATGATTGTAAGCACCACACATCACATGCTTAGATTTTTTTGGCACACGAGGCTGCATGATCAACACAATTTGCACAACTGTGGCCCTTAAAAAAGGTTGTTTTGGTTATAGTGCGGTACCGCTTATAGCGTGAATATTCGTAACTCCCAGGACTTGCTTTATAAAAAGTCTATACTGCTTTGCAGGCGTCACTGATGATCTTTAGGACGCACACAATGCCCCGACTATGACTGGCACCTAACGAGAGCTCTAGCTCCTTGCCCCTGTCGCTCTGTTGTTGGGCTGCTCTCAAGGTAGTTTCAGCTGGTTACACCATGAGTAAATTTTTTTTCCTGAGGGGGACATGCTTAATTGACTCACACTATTTCATTCGACAACACATGCGGATCTCCCAATTCGAAAACTACATATGCAGTGTCACCGAAGCTTGGGCGCACGTGGCCTCGAGCGCACTGTGGGTGCTTGCTTCTTGCAATTCTAAGTGGCTGTTTCAAAGTACAGCCGAACCCCACTACAACGAAACTGACTGGGCACGAAAAAAATTTTCGTTGAAGCAAAAATTTCTTTGCAGTGAAATCAAAGAAGTATAGCTGATCTGAGCTAGCAAAACAAAGGAACGTTTATCTGAAAATTCAAAAAATGTCCGCTGCTGCTTATTTTTTCCCAGCAGCGTCACGACGTGATTCTCACCCATGCACAGCGAGGCTATGGAGAACAGCACACTGAAACGATGCCTAAAACCGCCTTCGTGAATGAACCGAATCGTAGCATTGACAGATTAACACAAGCAGCTG